GAATAGTCCAATGAGTGAGGATGATGTGAAAAGAGATCTAGACAATCCAGCAAAGACATATGGGGCAGATGCTAGGTCTAATGGTAGAGCACAAAACAGAAAAACTAGTCTCCTGTGCACAAAATGGAGATAATGATGTGAAGATTCCATGATCGGGATATGAATATAGGCATTGGCGTCATCATACTTTGTCATCCATAGGCCGGGAGTAAAGTCCCACTGGAGGGAAAGAAACAACTCCATGGAAACCAAGGAGGCTGGAGGAAATGATTGAGACGAGAAAGGTCAATGACAGGTTCTCAATTACTCGTCTTTTTTGTTGCTACAAACAAACGGGAATACACCACCCCCCCCCCACCCCCCAAGAGAGGAGTCACTGCACTCTAAAGCCTCTTTGTACAAAAGATTCTGGGTGGCTTATGCTGGACAACTGGATGTAAATGATCTTTGAGGAGCAGAAAGACAACCAATATGATAGACAATGGAGGAGCAGATGTGAAATGAAGGATCAATCCTCTCCTGATTGGTTGCAAAGATCTCCCATACAGACACAAACTGTCTGAATTGAGTCCCCACAGGACTGTACTCCATCAGGTAGTCACGTATGCCATTGTTGTTGCTTCATGTGAATGAAAGATGTCTGCTGATAAGTGCAGAAGCTCCCTTGTGTTCCAATAGAACATGGAGCCAATGCAGGAGGTCTGGAAACCCGAATGGTAGATGCAGAAAACCATCTAGTAGAAGTCCAGAAAAAGCCGAGAGAGCAGTGTTGAAAGAGAAGAGTGGAGACAGGCCACATCCACCTGAGATTCCATGGAATCTGGAATACTTGCAAAAATTGAATGTCTGAGAAAAAGAGCTTTTCTGATATTACTAACGGTCAAAGAAGGAAGTCAAACACCCTCAAGCAAAGCATCTCTCTCCAAAAGCTCCCAGCAAAAAAACCTACCAAGAGACCTTGGAGAGAGCAGAAGCTGATAGCCTCACCAAAATGGAAGTCAATAAATGACTGAGATCCTCTGAAAATTGACCAGGAGACCTGTGATAGGCCACAGACAGCAGTTACAAAGAAGATAGAAAATGCAAAACGAATCCAGGAAAATTGAATTAGGTTAAGACAAATAGTGGCATTGGGCCTAGAAACCCAAATAGGAAGAAGAGGATCCAACCTCTGAGATTCTAAATATGGGTTCTTCAAATAATGGAAAGCTAAGGCATGCTGATCCAATAAATGGGGAGGACAAGGCATGGCAGCACCCTCTCACAATTGATTAACAAATCTCTGAGCATGCACAGTAATGTCTAGCAAAAGTCAAAAGACTAGGTAATCAGCTAATTGAAATTCCCCCAACTAAGAAGGAGAAGAGTCATAAGCCACAGAAGGAATGCTCAAGACATTACAAACTTGATGTATTAATTGCAGAAACTGTGCAGGAGGCAAGATGTCTGTTCGAGTCTTGTGATTAGCTGTCTAAGCAAACGAAGGAGCCGGAAAAATATAGTCCAAATTCTTACCAGTCTGCCCTTGATCCCTCTCAGCCTCTGAGCAGAATAGGAGAAGAAACATCTGACCTCATGTAAGACTCCATCTCTCTGTGTATAAGGGATTGGATGCCCTCCACAGAAAGGGGACTTCCTCAGACACCCAGACAACACTAGACTCCAGAGGTACCAGAGTAGGAGCACTAGGAGACTCCGTGTCAGAAACGTGAATGTGAGAATTCATATCTGAAATGCCCCAGAAATATTTTTTTCCCTGTGGAAAATAAAGAAATGAGACAATAAACTCAAAACTCAATAAGATGGGTCAAAAAAATTTCCAAAGCATAGGCATAACTAAAGTCTGCCAACACCTAAGAGAAACCTGCAGCAAGCACGTAAAACTGTCACCGTAACATTTTGTCATGAAAAAGAAGTGAATAGGAAGTAATAACGGGGAGTTTATATGTGGATCTGGGATAGGGGCACATTGATGTTGGTGGAGAGAATCATAAGATTTAACTTGCTATGGGCAATATAGTTGGGTATAAAGGCTGGAGCAAGCAAGGTAAGATTCATACCTATGCTTAGGTGGGCAGTGAAGAGAAACTTTCATTTGGATAAAGCTAAAGTTTGAGAGGAGGTAAGTGTGTTTCGGAAGCAATTTTACAATGTATAGAATAATAAATAGAGTAAGCTGTTCTTACTATTCAGAAGGCACTGTTATTTCACATGAAGAATAACGATAATTGGGTCGATGCTGATTGACCAAACCACCAAAGTATTTTAATTAGCTGAATTCCTCTGGCATTGTATTTTTTATTTTTTCTAGAATTGTGCTGTGGTACTACTATTGATTGAATATTTTACAGGAAAAATTTTACTGGATATGAACTGAAATATTGTTCAAAAGAAGGAGGAAAGAATGTTTTACCAGGAAGTTGTAAGTCCATTTTACTGTCAGAAAACGTGACCTTATAACAGAATTTATTAAGCTCTTCCCTATGATTGTGATGGAAGTAATTCATGAGATAGGCTAAAGACAGTACCAGTCATTTTATCACTTCATTGACTACTGTATCTAGAGCTGGAACTAAATTTCTCCAGAACAGTCAGAGTAGACCTGTTGAATTTTGTAATGATTCAGCTGAAAGTATGAGTATAGATGGAGGTGGAATTATACTAGCGTGCAAATGTATTAGAACACCTCAACAATTATCATTATAGGAGATTTATACACAGAATATAATGAGACCCAAAACTTGAGCACTTTTGAATAGTTCACTATTCTTCTTCAGGAGAGTAAAAAAGAATAGTGAACCATTCGAAAGCACTTGAGTTTTGAGTTTTGATTGAAAACCATTACAACTTTTGTATGTGATCCTGTGTGCTAACTTCTTAATCAAAACACACAAACTATAGTATTGATTTGTTATAGGAAACTGTTATAAAATTAGTACATAAATAATATCTTTAAGATTCTTTAATGCTAGTATTTTATGTGGTCACCTTTGACATTAATAAGAACTTGTCATCTTTGTGGCCTTGTGTCTGTGTGTTTTCTCAAAGTATTTGTTGTAATTTGATTCCATTTTTCTTGAAACTGTGTCCAGAGGTTTTATTTAGTACAGTTGGTACTTTTGTCAAGCATGCAATCCAGAAAGTCCCAGATTTACTCTGTTGGATTAAGATCTGGACATTGTGGTGGCTATACCATTTGCTGATTATTTTCTGGTCTTTATAGTCGTTATATTCTAGAAGTATTAAAATTTGGCCAATCAGCTTCTTTCCAGAGGGTATAACATAATAGACAAATATATTGCACTATTTATGTTGATCCATGATTCCATCAATTTTGTGAAGATAGCCAATACAATTTGCAGATATTTTACCCCGACCCTTCACAGAGCCTCCCGCATGCCTGAATATTGGCAGAAGATGCTCCTTCTGTAACCTTCCATTAACTCTTTGGTGAACATATATGTTTCAGATGGAAATAAACAGTTCAAATTCAGACTCAACTGTTCATAGCACTTTTTTCCCATTGTTCCACAGACCAGGATACATTATTTCTTTGTAATATTCTCTCTGCACATTTAGGGTTTGTTTGTTTTTTGCTGCTTCTCTTCCCCAAAGACCACATTTCTCCAGCATTCTTGGAACTATAATTCTTGAAAAACAAATTTGTGCATTGCTTAATTGTTAATGTCATTGGTAAGGTTTATTGCACTTTTCCTTCATTTCCTTTGTGGAATTGATTTTTAGATGTATTACATCTATTTCATTGGAATTTTTTTATCTCCATCTCTCATCTTTTGTGATGTTATAGGACTTGAGTTCTTTGTATCTGTCCAATGTGTGTTTCACAGTATGTGGTGAACATTTGTTCTTTTTGCAATTTTTCCATCCAGCATCTTCTAAAGATTTGACTCTGTTAAAGGGTGTTAATTCTGTGTTTTGGAATTTTAATTGCAACATCATACTGTATTAATTACATCTTATGATGTTTTTGCTAAACCAAATGACCAGTTTATACTTTCAGACTGATGAAGATACCCAACCACTTTTTGGTAGTTAAAACCCTTTCTATTAGAAATTCCATAAAGAGGGTTTAAAATCAAATAATAATGAATTGATAAAAATATTTAAATTTTATCTTGAGATCAAAACTGTTAGCTTCTAAGGAATATACATATATAATATGATTAAGATTTTAACAGTAGTGTTATGTGTATATATATATGTATATATATCTTATATTTGTTTTTATATTCTTGGGAGAAAGTGATTAAAAACTTCAGAGAGACTTGACTTACTGATTTTTAAAAAAATCGGTTTCCAGTTTCATTTTACTTCAAAGTAATTTGTACTATATACACAAATACATTCTGAAGGCTGATTGTAATGTGTAAATTCTTTTTACAGGTGATTTTGGTGAAATCAGTAATAATAAAGAACCAGTCATCCAGTCAATGTCTTCTAATAACCTGTCACCCTCCAGTAACTCTCTCAGATGCCAGAATAATTGTGACATACCCAAACTTTCCATTTCTTATGATGAAATAGTTAATGGATATGAAACCTCATCTGATCTTCTTGATTCTGAAGGAGCCACAAGGGGACGATTGGAACGATCAGAAAGCACTTTAACACCTCGTACTCAGGCTAAATCTGGAGAAACAGGAATTAGGCGTGTTGCATCCTGCCCAGGTTAGCTAGATATGGTTATATAAACTAAGATTAAAACCTTTTTTAACTTCAAACTAGCTTTTCTTGCCTCTAGGATTGTAGTACAGGTAAAAATGATTCAAAATTAATTTTGTGATCTATAGTATTGTACATGAGTCTCAAACCACATGCTTATTCATTGCAAAATCAACATCTTTTTTTGTTTTGTTTTATTGATGTTCAGTATTTAGTAACAATTTCAATTTATTTTGGAGTAGACAACTAGTTTACTGCTTTTGTTATAAATAACATTATGTGAACATTGCAAAAAAGTTTTTCTCAAAGTTGCATCTTGTATTTTTGTGCCGTTCGAATTTAGTTTTAAAACTGTCATGATTTATACCATAAAAATCAAACTCCTACACTTCTTTGTTGTTTTGATTGTTTCAGGCTCAAAAGTATTTAGTAAATTATATCGGATATCTCACTAAACAGTTTTCCAACCATGAAATAGTAAGATTAATAATGAGGTTTGAAAAAGAGTTTGCTTGGTTTACAATTAAATGAATTAGCCCCCCCCAAAAAAAAAGATTCAAGATAGTAGGTTTCATTCTGTTTAGAATAAATAAAAGTCAAATGTCTGAATATGCTCTATCTTACGAACAGATAACCGGTTAGATAAAAAACTAGACCCCATGCTCGAGGTATGTGACATTCCTGTGAAGATAGCTGACCTAGGCAATGCATGTTGGGTGGTAGGTTTCTTTTTGAAATTTATTTTGTAAAGAATATTTTCATTTTTGATGTATAACTTTAACACATGTTTTACATATACTAATATTTAGCACCTATATGTTTCATTTGGTATGCAATGCTGCCAAAGTAGATTTGTGGCTGTTTCCAGAATGTTGGGTATGAGATGTTTTGGTATCCAAAAAAATGAAAGTTCTAAAGTATTGTTGCGTCAGCGAGGTCACGTGACTAGTGTCACTCCACGTTTCTAGAACTATCCCATTCCTTCGGGAGTGCTCTAGCATTTACTAAATTGGGGGTGGTCTGATGTATATAAGATGGTCACGGCGTGACGTGATAATGTGTGTGTGTAGGTAATGAGTAATTGAACTGCAGACAGAGAGAGACGTATT